TACATTCTGGCTTACTATGGAGGTCAAATGAGACTCATCTAATTTGGCTCCAACGGGCATTCATAGTTGTAGTCCAACAACCCATCCTGTTTGTAGTTTTAAATGAGTGAGAGGGGAGCATGGCCTCATGGGAAATAATTTCAGCTCTGGGAAAAATCTGCATATAATGGAAGGAGACAAAAAGACCTGGTTTACAAACTTGGCTATTCCAAGTATAATCCCAGATTAACCAAATATAAAACCTGGGTTGTATCTGTGCTCTGACAGAAAGACTCATTAATTATTCTGACCAGTTTAAAATGTCAAGATTAACTTCACTGAATCTGAATAACAAACACTAGTTTTGGCAGAGACTGTGGTTGTTTTTAGGCTTAGACTGAACCCAGATTTTATTTCTCTCAGAGCTGACATCACTTCCTCCACACGGCTTTAAATCCTCAGTGTCTGATGATGAGCAGTTTGCTGTTGGTGACCTCTGACCTCAGCCGCCTCTAATGAAGGTTACAAGGAGATGTGTCTATTTATGGCGGCTGCCCCTCCTCTTCATGGCCGCTGTGCACTGAGGGCAGTACCACTTCCCCTTCGGGGCCTCCGTCAGGCCAACACAGCCGTAGTGGAACCACTCGATCGGACACTGAGGACATACACAGACACGGTCAGCACATACACACAGACACCCGTTTCCACGGGTCAGAACCTGAAGGTAAAAGACTCACGTCTGTGTTGTCACAGCCGACCATCTCTCCATAAGAAACCTGAAACACAGAAGAGGAGTCACCATCATTCTATGAGGCCTCGTCAGTGATTGGTCCATCAGCAAACCTGATGTATGCGTGTATGTGTGTGTGTACCTGGTTACAGATGCAGTATCGGGGCTCGTTGGGGTCGTAGGTCCAGTCCACCTGACTGTTGGCCTCGGCTTCAGGCAGCACCGATGCCTGCTGGGAGAGCTCCTGAGCGAGCGCCGATGACGAAGAACAGGACGACAGTGAGGAGGAGGAGGACGACGAAGATGACTGATGGTTGGAAGACTTAATGCTGCTCCTGTAAAACAGAAGAAGAGTGAGTGTTTATCCATGCTGAGCGCTGGAGGCAAGAAGCCAAGATGGTGGTCTTACTTGGACTTGCGTCCTCGAGAGTCAGAGGTGGTGCTGGGGGTGAGGGTCTGAGTGAGGGTGGAGGCGAGGGCGGAGGAGGAGTATCCGGCAGTGCTTTCCCGGGACAGAGCGAAGTCCCTGCCCAGCTGGAAGTCGTTGTTTTTGATGGCCTCATAGCTCGCTTTGAGGCTGGACGTCCGTCGGCCCTCCTTCATCTGCTCACATGGATACATCAGCAGTAAAACGTTTAGGTCATGCATGCATGCATGTTATACTCTGTATGATACTGTATGTGACAAATAATAAAGCTTGTTTGTTTTGTTTGTTTGTCAGTAACACAGACAAGCACATCCCGTAGCCGGATGTCAGATTTTCTACCATCTTTCAGTCCTTGAACTAACCAAATGTGATTCAAGATGTCCGATTTAAAAATTCTTTGACCTGCTCATCTCAGACTGACAGTTACTTGAAACTTCAGGTTTGAGTTATACCGGAAACTCAACTAACACAGCAAAGCAGCAGAGCTGAGGCACTGATGATGATGAACAGAATGTCTGCAGATGACTTCAGAGGTGATGGAGACAGATCAGCTGCTCATGCGTTCTCTGTGGAACAAACGTTTCTGGAAGCTGTCGCTTTTTTCAAAGAACCTTTAAAAGATTTTAACTGATCCAAAACGACAAGTTTGGCCTGCAGGTGAAAACACCTGAGAAACTCCACCCCTTCTCTAACTGGATGTTCTCTCACCTGAGCTGTGGCCTGCACCGCCTGGGCAGCAGCCATGGTGATGGCACCGGCTCCAGCTCCAGCTCCGGGCCCTGAGGACAGCGAGCTCAGGTTGTAGGCCATAGGCTGGGAGGAGTTGACGCTGTACGCATTGTTGGTGGACGAGGATGTGCTGTTGGTACGGCAGCCTGCCGAGGACACACAGGTGAGGCAGGCAACACATGGCAGGCGGTCAGAGTGCTCTGGTGAGGGTCGTGGCTCTTACCTGGCGTGTTCTCTTTGGAGGCGTCTGACGTGAGCGTGGACAGCAGAGCTTCAGACTTGAACTTCTTCTCTGGGACGTGTTCTGTGGTGTGGTGGCTCGGAGCGCTATATTTTCTCTCTGAGAGCACACAAACATGCAGTTAGCTGACACTTCCTGTTTCAAACTGAAAACAACACAATACCATCATCATGTCCCGCCCCAAATTCATCTGAGGTTCACACTGCTTCAATCTGACACCATGTTTATGTTTGCTGCTGTTACCATGGTGAACCGTGGTCTGGCCAAGAGTGGCTGATTTCAGTCGGTTAAATCAGAGTGGACAACTCAGAGTGGCTCACTGTGCTTATGTCACAGCTTCCGCGTCAACTCAAATGATCCCGAATGACCTCAGCAGGTAAGGTCTAACGAGAACAAGTATCGTGACGCTAAACTTTTAAAAGTTGCTAACAACAGCACGAGGACGAAGCCAGAGAATGAGGTTAGTGTGGTCTAAAACCCAGGTTATCACTGCAGTTCAGGTTGATGCGTGATGTGTGACATCAGCAACTGGGAACACCTCCCACCTCGTTTACATCAGCATGACCGCTGCATGTTTCTGTATTCTAACATTTTAACAACTGTTAATCATCCTCAAAAAAATATTTTTATTTCTCATTCTCAGATGAACGACTACACGCCTCTGAAGACGCTTTCAGGGATTCATATGCATGGATTAGGTGGTCAATCAGTATGGATCAGGAAAGATGCAGGCGATGATCCAGACAGCAGACAACAAACAGATCTGGTGTTGCTGTGTACTCACTCTCTGTGGCGGCGTGTGAGTGAACGTGGTGGTTGTTGACAGGCTGAGACGGGCTGTCCATCTCCAACGATCCTGAGCACAGATGTGTGACAGGAAGTCAGGCACACGTTACAGGAAGTCTAACATTCCCCTGCCGAATACAACCAAAGAGCTACTCACGTCTCTCAAGGATCTCAGTGATGCCAGCGTTGTCAGCCTCCAGCTCCATCTTGAACTTGGCCAGTTCCTGGTCCAGTTTACGCAGGTGTCGGTCCACCTGAGACACAGAGGATCAATGAGGTCAACAACGAAAACCAATTTTAAACCAATCAAGCAGCTTTTCTGTGACACATGAATAATTTTTAAGTGTTGGGCTGATGGATGTCTGGATGTGTTAATAATCACACAGATGCCCCCAAAAGTTGATTCTTTTCATCTGGACGTAGCATTTTCAATGGGAGAAATGTTTCGTCACTCATTCAAGTGACTTCTTCAGTCTCAGCTGACTGCAGGTTTCCCCAATCTCATAAACAGTACATTTGCATTATGACTGAAACTAACACCACTGAAGGAACAATGGGCTGGAAGGTCAGTTCCTTGGCCATTAATATGCAAATTCTCATAACCCTTGATCATCATTGACTGATCAAATCTCACAGATGAGTGATCAATCTAACCAATCAGTGATTTATAACTGAAGGGTCTGAGTTTAGCTGGTATCTTTCAGTGATAGTGACCATGCTCTCAGACTGCAGGAAAAGTAACTCCTTGTGCTTTTTTAGTGGCTCTTCAAGGTTCTTTCTGCCCTCTAGTGGCGGCTGTGTGGAATAACTGAGGGTTCCTCTGAGATTTCTACACGTTAAAGCCGTTAAAGCCTAAATGTGCACCTTTGCCATTCTGTGATCACCTGAGTGACACCTGAAGGAAACCTTTACTCACCAGGTCATAGATCTGATTGGCCAGCTGGACTTTCTCATCTGCATCTTCCAGAGCTTTGTAGTAATCCTAAGAACACACACAGGTTTAACCCAAAAACCCAAGACACACACCACCCACACACACGCACAGAAACAAGAATCCGCCACCTCTGACCTTTTTAATGACCTCCATCTGCTCCTCTCTCCACTCTGGTTTGTTCTTCTTGGCGTTGACGAAGAACTCGATGACCTTCTGCTCCAGCTGATCCGTGGCATCTGAAGGAACAAACAGGAAAGGACGTGAGAAAACGCAGCACTCAGCATTTTACCATCACGTGTGCAAAGTCTGACTGCGGCCTTCCCTCAGGTGTTTCCTCTCTGTTGGTGAACTGCAGACTTATTCTGAGCCTGGGGATCACCTTTGGACTGTAGTTCTAATGAAATCAGAGCTGAGGACTCACCTGGTCCACACTAACCTGAGTGTGACTCCCTCAGGTGATTTGTTTTTGAGTGTTTCCTGCCAGCTGAAACCTGCAGCAGTGAGTGTGCCATGTGTGGATAATATTTGTTAGATTTTGTTGATTCGTGATTGGATACGCTCTGCAGTATAAATGTGCAGTATAAATAAAGTTTGATTAAAACTTTATTTCCCCAGCTCTCACTCAGTGAGTGCTCCTGTTATGTCACAGATCTGTGCCTCTGAACCAATGTGACTAAAGCTGAAGTAGTTTCATCATCTATTTGCAGCAACAAAAACATAGTATTCCAGAAACATGCTTTGCTAATTCCAATCAGCGCATCCAACATTACCTGCCCGAAACCGGAAGTGGCGTCATCTTCGCAGAAAATACGTTTTTTTCCTATAGAATACGCTGGTGGTTTTTAAAATTCATTTTTAAGTTTATGGCTTTCTGTACAGTTTCTGGGATGCTAAGAACTCAAATTACACTGCTGGAAATAGCTCATGCTGTTTTTTGCAAATTTGCATTACAATAATTATTTTCATTTTTCCTACAGTATATAAAAATCTGTGTATGTCAAAAATAAAACTATGAATACACTCAAAATAGATTTCCTGTGGTTGGAACCTATTTTGCGCAACTTTTTTGCATTTACAGTTTTGAGGGATATACCCCTGAAATTTCTCTAACTAGAAATATGTGTAGAAAACAAACAAACAAAAAACAATGTTACATTTTTTTGGTAGTTTTATTGCACTTTTTTGCAATTCATGTAGTTACTATAGCAAATTGAAATACTCCCAAAAAATATCACTACACCATCTAAAAATATATAGATAAGCTCTGGTGGACTTGGTTCTATGGTAGGTCTTAAAGGGTTAATATCCTGAGGTTTAAACAGATAGAAAAATGACAGCAAAGTGTCCAGCAATACTGGCCCTGTATTTATTTGGTATCAGATCAATACTTAAATCTGCAGTATCACACAGCACTAGCGCCCAGCACAGGCTCATTCAGAGTATCCCTAACACTCATTTATTATTACACCTTTCAGAGTCGCGTTTATACCATTGTTACAACATTGTTCTTTTTCTGGCTGCACACACAAGCGTTTAGAAAGTGGTTTAATTGATCTAACTCTAAGTCCAATTAAATTTGTGTCAGTGATTGAAACAAAATATTTTAGAGGAAATGATTACTATTTTAATAATCCTTCATTTTAAATTTCAGTTCAAAATTATTTAGTTTGTTCAGCAACTTCATAATTTATCAAAACATATTTTACTAAAACCTTTTTTTAATTTAAACTTTAAAAAATACAGATATTTACAGAAATCCTATTAAATAATCTCAGTTTAGACCAAAGAAATTTATTTATAAAGTGCTAAAATAGTGATTAGGACCTCCTGTGAGCGTCTAACAGCGATAATCATTTTAAAGTTGCTTTATTAGCAACTTGACTTTTAATGTGCATGAATGTGAACTTTCGGATCGGCAGTAATAAAGGGGAGGGGGCCCTGTGTGTGGATGTGACCCTGCAGGTGGTTGCTGCGCTGCAGTATCGTGCTGGTATCTACTGGGTTTCAGCCCGTTAGCCGCCTCTGCTAACGTGTGCTAATTAAGTAAGCGCCATTGGGCGGTCATCAGCGCCGGGACGCGGCTCTGTTGCTTGGACAGTCCCAGCAGGGCTGCCGCTATGTGTGCATGCCGCAGCGCGCGTGTCCCCGGTGTGTGGCGCCGTTGGCGGCAGGGTTGTACGTACTCTGAACCTGCAGGTCCATCTCCCTCATTTCCGTAAACCTGTCGCGGAGATCCATGGGTAGCTGCTCGATCACTGCCAGGAGAAGAAAAGGCGGTTACCTGCTAGCACGGCTAGGCTAACTGCCGGAGCCGACCTGGCCGGAAAATAACACCCATTTAACGCGCAGCAGAGCCCTGTGACACCGCTGCCGCTTCGGTGCAGTCCCATACTCACTCTCCAGGTAGTCCTCCAGGTACAACATCGTGTTTAATTTAAGGTGTCAGTCGTTTTCGCCGACAATTCTCTGCTTTCAATATGGCGCCGCCTGCCAACGTCTGCTCAGAAAAAAATACCCAGAAAAAAGGAGGTCACAGATGCTGACGCAAGCGTCTGCCCGCGCTCTGATTGGTTCACATACAGGCAGGCGTTGACAGGACAGATGCATCATGGGAATTGTATTTATATTTACACTTCTTTACGTCTTTTATGCACTACTATAGTAATCCTTTATTTATTTATTTGAAAATAAAAAGCAAGAGGGGTGTTTTTCTCAAGCCTGGTAAACTATTTCATTTCGACTGCACATTTACACAAAGCTTTTGGACATTTTTTTACCTGAAAAATTGCATTAATGACCAGCTGAAAATTATATTTACTTTTCTACAAGAATATGTGGACAGAAACAACTAAAGAGATTAAGAATAAATCCATCTCACCTTTTCTGTTCAGATATGTTTGCTAATGTATTAAATATTAGATTTGTGCGTTGTGGTACTAATTTAACACATTTAAAGTATGTGGACAAACAATATAAGCTGTGTGGTAACTTCTGTCCACATACGCTTGTGTTTTCACACATGTTCAGCTGTTAATTAAACATATCCCACTTCATGCGACTATAATTATTCATGAACCGAGCAGTGATTCTATTTTAATGATCATATATTAATTATAAGTTCTTATCAGTGATTTTAATAACTGTAAAATGAGTGCACGTGTTAGTCTATATACTTTGGGGTATATATATTGTTTTAGATTAGTGTTATAAGAACCATCCATTTACCATTTAGACAGCCAGTCACATGCGTTCACATTATTTTGATTACAAGTGTGAGCAGAAAAACAAACAAGCAGCCTAAATGGCCAAAATTATGTAGACACAAACGACATGTCTTACTGTATTTCCGTGGAAGTTTATGTCCACATTCTTTTGTCATACATTTTTCCTTCTACGAGTTTATGTTCAGTGTCCGGCAGTGTGTAACATAATAATATATGTGCAAATAGTCAGAAAGTTTGTGGAAAATAATTACAAGGTAGCCTAAAGTAAGTTTCCACATAATTTAGGGACAAAAAGTGCTACTGCAAAGAGTTTATGACCAGAACTATGTGGACAAACACTCCAAGCGCTGTGTGTGTTTCCTGCAGCTTCATCCTCTCAATCTCGGCCTGCTGACCCCACGGTTGTGCGGCTGGAGGCGGACACATTCCTCTGTCCTCCCCCCGGACGCTGTGAGAGAGGAGGCGGAGCTGCTGCTGCTTTAATTAGTGAAGAAGGAGCAGCAGGAGGAGCAGAGGAGCGGACGGTTCGGATTGTTACGCAGCAGACTGACGGAGCTGTGTGTGCGTGTGTGTATTCGTGTATCCGGTGACAGTCTGGAGGTGTGCGGACAGCGGTGACCGGTTCGGAGCGTGCGCAGTGAGGACCACCTGCTGCTGGTCACCGAGCGGGCCAGGGCGCGCGGGGACGGAATGCGGGTTTCACGCACGGAGTACGCGCAGTTCCTGAGCGCTCCGTGCTGTGTGCGTGCAGCGAGCATGTTGCCATGGTGCCCCGGGCTCAGATGAGCGGCACGCGGAGGAGCTCCGGTCGGGATGGCTCGCGAGGACGCGGTGAGGTGTCTGCGCTGCCTGCTGTACGCGCTCAACCTGCTGTTCTGGGTGAGAGGAGCGGGCACGCGCACGACTACAAGAGTGTAATTGCCCTTTAATGATCAGCGTGTTCGAGTCATTATACTAAAGCAGTCAAACAATGCAGTATTTTACTGCAGTAACTGTAGGTACTATGTCTAGTGGTAGTTGTTTGTATGAAGTACTGTGTTTAGTGGTAGTTCTGTGTACAGAGTACTGCGATTAGTGGTAGTTCTGTGTACAGAGTACTGCTTTTAGTGGTAGTTCTGTGTACAGAGTACTGTGTTTAGTGGTAGTTCTGTGTACAGAATATTGTGTTTAGTGGTAGTTCTGTGTACAGAATATTGTGTTTAGTGGTAGTTCTGTGTACAGGGACAGGCGGCGCTGGGGTGAAGCAGGCCGGGTGTTCCTCGCTGCCTGCTTCACATTCTCAGATGTTATTATAGGCAGCAGAAACATATCCATGTGTTTATTTCTGTGTGTCCAGCTGATGTCAGCATGTGTGCTGGGAGTGGCGGTGTGGATCCGTGACTCTCTCAACACCGTCCTCACCCTGACGGCCCACACCAGGTGAGTCTGACCTGGCTTGCAGCTCAGGTATCAGAGCCAACCAGGTGACAGCACCTGAAAGTTTTAATCATCTTTATCTGACACACCTTGTCTCTGATAGATGATCCAGATGTGAACTAAACAGCTGCTTTGTGAAGCTCGGAGCATGGAGGCTAATTCGTGTGTGTGTGTGTGTGTGTGTGTGTGTATATGCAGGTTGGAGGAAGCTGCCGTCCTCACGTACTCTCCAGCTGTTCACCCCGTCATTGTTGCCGTGTGCTGCTTTCTCATCATCGTGGCAATGGTGGGGTACTGCGGCACGCTCAGGTGTGACCTGCTGCTGCTCTCTTGGGTACGAATGCTCACATCACACACTTCAGAAAGGATTTTTACTTTAACCAAAGGCGACATTTATCTCAGATTTTACAATCAGAAGCAGGAAGTCCATGTCCTGGATTCAGCTGACATTTAACAAGAAACAGTTTCTGAGTGCTCTGACACATTTGGAAAAGCACAGATGAAGTCTCTGTTTTGAATCAGCCAGCAGAGGAAACATTTTTAGCTGCTCTGACTGTTGGTCAGTGTGTTACCTGTATGTTAGCATGACTGTTGGTCAGTGTGTGTTGGCGTGACTGTTGATCAGTGTGTTAGCTATGACAGGTCTACACTGAGACTGATATCATGACACAAGCACCCGCGGCTCCCACCTTCCTGTGGCGGGGTTAAGGTTCAGTGGCATTTTGCGTACACAGTGAAGTGGGAACATCAGAAACCTGGAGCTGATGTCTCTGAACCTGAAGCCCTATGAGCACTGAGGCAGACTCACCTGAGCTTCATCATAATGACACACTCCTCAGGTAGACTGATCTCTTATCAACTGGTTCTGCTGCAGCCTATCAGAGCATCATCTGCTCACCAGCTGCTAAACAAGGTGAAGAGGTCAGCCTCCACCTCCACACGCTCCACCCGCCTCACACACCTCCATATGGGAGGATTGAGCTCAGTCCAGAGTCCACCACTGTCAGCAGGTGTGCAGGTGTATGATGTCTCACACACACAGCCTACTCTGGACTCTCAGGTAGAGCCCACAGAGGTCACACTGTCCACCTAACTGTGTGTTTGAGCTACACCACCTGTTTTCTGTGCTCTGATTAGGCGGGGCCAGGTGTTGGGTGCCCCATTGTTCCCAACAGGTGATAAGATTGTCTCCGAAAGATGAGCTGCTGAGAGGAGCTTCAGTCTGCTACAGGGACTGCCCCGGGGCATGATGGGAACCCGCTCAGCCAGTTCCAACACACACACACACACCTCAGTTAGCTGTGAGATTACATAACAGTAGAAGTCTCTCATGTTTGTGAGTGAGTAGGTTATTCAGGTGGACAAGAAGATAAAACCAGCTTCAGACATCACACATTACTGTGCTGCTCAGGGTTAAGAGCTGCAGACACCTCGGGGCTGTCACTGAGGGAGAGGACGAGGTCAGCTTCATGCCTTTTTGACAGAAAGGTTTTAGGTTGATTATCAGACTAAACTCGTCTCCGCCTGTGTTTCAGTACTTCGGCAGTCTGTTGGTGATCTTCTGTGTGGAGCTGGCCAGTGCTGTGTGGACCTACGAGGAGGTGAGAACACTGAAGCTTTGAATCCCTGAACATGTCATGTAGTCAGACGTGAATGTGTTTAACCAACAAACCATCAGAGCAGGTAAAATTATAATCGTGATTCATAACTGAGCCTCTGTTCATGTGAAATTCTGCAGCTTTTTCTCACTGACTGATCGTGATAGTAACGAGTTTGTCAGTACGGAGTTACGGCGGTGTCGCGCACATGCAAGTGTTTCCGTCCTAAACGGATCATTTCTCGCCTCATGCACCGGCTGGACTCCAGTCTCTAATAATAATCAGGAATCTCAGACTTGTCCGGCTCCTCTTTCAGCGCTGCCGCGACACGCCCGTCACCTCACACCCACCTGCAAAGTACTCAAATACATCTACTCCAGTACTGCAGGGTACATTACCTGCAGTAGTTTGTAGTTTCAGTGAGTGTCAGACTCACGCTAACGATAACAAAATAAATATTGGAGGCTTGCTCCTCTGGGAGAGCTCAGAGAGCCTTGAGTAGCGCTTTCTGACTCATTTCTTACAGCCTGAGCTTTTCCTGCTGATTTCTCAAAGTTCTCAAAGTTTCAGGTGATCTCCAAACATTTTCAAATGAGCCAATTAGATTTTAGGGGTGACAGAATATGTTCTTTCGTTTGCGTTTGTTGTTTATAAAGTTTCATTTTGATTGCTGTCTTTGAAGCACAGCAGTTTGAGCCTGGCTTTGAACTCTGACCTCAGGCTCAGTTTATCTCTGCATTAGCTGCCTGCAGGGGGTTGTGGGTATTGTAGTAGTGAAGGTTTTACTTTTTTCTTTATCAGTCGAGCAGACACTCACACATGGACCTCAGGTTGGTCCCTGTTTGGGGGGTTGCAGTAAAAACCTGAAGTCCTGAGTGTGTGAGTCCTGTGGGTTTGTCATGTGGAAAGTGGCTGGAATTTTTGCAGTACAGAGGAGGAGGAAGGTAAAATCCGAACGAAACAAAAGCCAAAACAGTGCAGAAGAACTGGACAAAGGACACGAGTAGACTGAGATGATAAATACCGGAGGTAATGAGGCCAGCAGAAGGAACAGCTGGCAGTAATCACAGGACGAGGCAGGGGAAGTAAATACAAAGCACAGCTGACAACAGACTACCAAAGATAAAATGAGTAAACAGGCGACAGACTCACACATTTCACAAAAGTGAAATAGCTCAGACAGCGGGGTACACATTAGAGGTGGGAATCACCATACATCCCACAATACGATATTATCACAATACTTAACGCACGATACGATATTTTTGCAATTTTTTTAAATATTTTGCGATATTCAGATTCTGTACATAAAGGTGAACTTTATCAATATTCATTTTATCTAATATCAAAGTCTCACACTCAGTCATTCTCTCATTTCAGTCAGTTTTATTGTTGACAAACTGAACGGTTTGTATTACAGTCTAGTCCAACTTAACTGAATGCAACCATCTGGTACAATTATAGCTATTCTGAACTATGCAATTTATGAAAACTGTGCAGCCCATTCAGCAACTGAAGAATTTGAAAGTAAATTAAAACAAAATATAATTTTACATTAGATAAAAAAAGTTTTAAACTTAATTAAAATAAAACATGTCTTAAATTAAAATAAGTAAACTGTCATGTTTATTGCTGCCAAAAAACGTTAAACACATTTGGACAGTGAAGGAATGTCAGGATTCTTGCTCAGAAAAAGGAGCTGATCAACATGCTCTGAAGTCAGAACACAAAAACCTTTTTTGTAACAAAATATCGAATTCTGCTGTCCCTGTATCGATACATTATTAGCAAACAAAATATCACGATACTACACAGTATCGATTTTTTTCCCCACCGCTAGTACACATAGGAATAAACTACACAACAACCAGTGTTGGGAAGGTTACATGTAAAATCTATTCCAGTACAAATTACAGAATATAGGCCCAAAATGTAGCTTGTAACGTATTTTGTTAAGTTACTCAATGTAATGTATTCTGAATACCTTAGATTACTTGATATATTGTCATGCTTTTTAAAACTACATGAATGTACTATTGCTGTGTGATTTATTACTATTACTGAAGGCTACTTGCCACTGAGCTAACATTCTTAGCTGGCGTTAGCTGAGGTTCGTTCATAGACTGCAGACTGTTAGACTTGATGGATAGCATTAGCAACCTGGTAGCTGCAAATAATCATGTGCAGTTCTGAAAGCAATACCAACTAGATTTTTAAATCTTAGTATAAAATGAGTAACAGTAGGGTGGAGATTAGATAAGGCTGCACTTTTTGCAGGGATCTTGTGTAGAAAACTATTTCTGTATGACTATGTTTTCTTTCTGTCTGCTTTCAGAACTGCACATGATTATTAGCATCTAGCAAGTTATAATGCAGCCTTCAGTAAATTAATAAATCACACAGCAATAGTGCATCGAAGATATTGAAGTGGCACATAACCCAGGTAGCTACCGCATCTAAACCAGGTTGTTTGCGTTGGGTTCGGTTTGTTTTTTAAAAAGAACTTACTTCCGGATGTTTCTTTAGGTTGGAGGCGGAGTCTTTTCACACTGAGAGTAGCTTGGTTGGTGGCAAATAGAGTTTGCATTGCTCGGTCAGATTTCGCCCATCCCTTTCGTCTTTAAATGTGACGTGGTGTCGGAATTTCAAAGTAAGAAATGCATTTTGCCCATGCACTGCTGGCTCTGTTTGTGTAAGTGACACCACCAACATTAACAGGACGCTTACATTAGAGCCTCTTAGAGCCTCCTTTCCTGCAATGCGTTTAATTACCAAAATTAGAGAGTGGATAAAGAGGGGATAGCCTAACATATGAAACAACGTAACTGTATTCTAATCATTACCTATTTAAACGGTAACTGTAATGGAATACAGTTACTCATATTTTGTATTTTGATATGTAACACCAGTACAGGCATTCCGATACACCCCAACACTGACAACAACCAAACTCTAGCTTGCTCAGCACAGCTGTGAACCACACTGATCCAACTGACAACCAACAGAACATTAAATACTGTTTCAAAGACCACCACAAAGACTGGGTCCAAACCCAGAATGACCAGCTGACGTATGTTCATATGTTATGAAAGGAGCGTGATGGAGAATACACCGCAGCTCTGTTTCCTTCATCCTGAACCTGAACTTCAGTTTCCTGTTTTTGACCAATCAGGAGCCACGGCTGTGTGACTCATGTTTCTCCATGGGGATCAAGCTGTAATGTTTCCAGCAGTGAGCTACACCCGTTTAAGATCTTATTTTTACTTTTGTTTCACTGTAATTGACATGGTGTGTGTGTATGCGTGTGTGTGTGCATGTGTGTGTGCGTAGCCCTCAGTGCAGCGCTCTGACATGATCAGCCTGAAGTCTCGAATGCCAAACTACGGTCTGCAGCGTTACCAGTGGCTCACACACACCTGGAACAGCTTTCAGACTGAGGTAACACACACACACACACACACACACACACACACACACACACACACACACACACACACACACACACACACACACACGGTGTGGTCAGGTGACCTGTGTACTGACAGATGTTTCTTCACCTGGCCTCAGTTTAAATGCTGCGGTGTCATCTACTTCACTGATTGGTTGGAGATGACTGAGATGGAGTGGCCACCTGACTCCTGCTGCTCCAATCAGTATCCAGGCTGCGCTCGCCATGCCCACTACCACGACCTTAGCGACCTCCACCAAGAGGTGAGCCACAGCGGCTTCTCACTGGACAGAAACATCAGAGGACACGCCCTCTGATGACCCAGCTGCTCTTAAATCCTCCTCCTCTTATATGTGTGTTGTGTGTTTGTTTTAGGGCTGCGGTCCAAAGATCTACACCTTCATCCGTGGGACGAAGCAGTTGCAGATGTTGCGTTTCCTGGGCGTGTCCATCGGTGTGGCTCAGATCATCGCCATGGCGCTCACTCTCACACTCCTCTGGGCGCTTTATTATGGACGGAAGTCTCCAGAGCCGGACATGCCCACACTGCCGCCACCGGATGACCCCGACCCTGACACAGCAGCACATGCAGCCTCGGCGGACGCTTTAAAGTCGGGCTGCAGCCGCTCAAATAAAGGCTGCACGAACATGGCTGCCACCACACCGAAACAGCAGTTTGAGATGGAGCGACTTCACGCTGCTGCCTAAAAAGCTTCGTCCGGCTTGTCCAACACCAGACAACCTTTACTCAGTGAGAACACGAGCACCGGCAGCTTCAGAGCAAAGCCACACCCCCCGATGACCTCCTGACATCGCTGCAGCTCCAATCATCACAGAACAAAATGCGTGTCAGCGCGTGCCTGTAGCTGATAGAGAGGACGCATCATCAGTTTTATGTTAAAATTTAAGTCCTGAAGTTAAACTCTGGACTTCCTGTTTAAATAAGGCAGGTCATGTGCTTTTTCTACAGGAAAACAGGAAAATAATCTTTTATTTTTACAGTCTTGCTCTATCACATCCTCTAAACCGCACCACTCGATTATTGTTGATATCAGATGTACATGTGTGCAGCCTCTCAGCTTCCAGTTGGTCAGAGTGAAGGCGTTCCCACTCTTACAGTCTGACAGCTGATCTGATGGTGATGGGTGTAGCTGCTGTTCTGTTCGTGCTTCTCTCTGTGAACTGTGAGTCATCTGAAGAACAGACTGTAAACTGAGGATGGACAGAATGGTGACTTACTGCAGGTCTGGAGGAGACAAGTGAGACAGGTGAGGAAGAGAGGAGGCTGTTCCTGTCAGACATCGTGAACTCTAAAGGAGCTGATTTTGTTCTTCGGGATGATGAAGTCAGAGAACATGTTAGAGAACAGACTTCCTCCTGTTTGGACTCCCCGCCTCTAATGAGACCAAACATATGGACACAGCCGGCTGGAGACGGACTCCAGATATTTTCCTGACAGCTGTGTCAGGAGCCACTGGAACATTAGATGACTTTTGAATTGGATTATTTATGGAGCTCTCTGAGAGACTGTACACCCACAGGAAGTGTGAGAGTCTGTGCATGCTGTTGGATATTTATTGTTTGTTATTACAGCGTTTTCACTGGAATAAAACGAAATATTAAAGCTGTTTGAGACGGACGGCTTCTCCTCTGCACTTTAATGGCTCCTTACTGTAACAGCTGGGACTAAAGTGACCTCCCTGCTTTGTTCTGATACTCATGTGAGAGCATCTGTGGACGACCCAACTCTCACAAACTGTTTGCTGTGATGATATTTCAGATTATTGAGATGGGGCGATGTGGGAGGAGCTTCTGGATTTGGAGTGAAACCTGTGACATTCCTGCAGCTGCTGGGAGAAAGCGGAGACGGTAACACGGATACAGGGCGTCAGCTGCTTGCAGTGAAAAGCTCTCCAAATCCAGCGAGCATGAAATCCTACCTCTACTACCACTGTACGCTTTATTAATAGGTCGCTGAGTCTCGGCGCTCCGGCCTCAACTCTCCAGCGCTGTTTCATTCAGGCTGCCAGCGTCTGTGAGGGCAGACCGGCTCACTTTACTCGCCACGTCTATTTTTATATCACACGGCTTATCGTACACTCATCTGATCATTGTGTAGTTTCACAGCATTTCACGTATTACACAGTCCTCTGAGACTCTCTCTGATCGAACACCGCTCTCAGATCAAAACCACGTCAAACTCGTGTTTCCTTGTGTTTGATGAGTCGTGTGATTCAGCGTGCGACAAACTGAACTTCATCTTTGTCTGAGCTTTTTACTCACAAACCTACGCACCTGAACCCAAGCCTGTCCCTTCAAACAGAGACAAGACCGGCTCATAAATCATTCTGTCTGTCCTGTGGCCCTGAGAAATAATCTGTGGGTTATATTCAGTGTGTTTGACAACCTGCTGTGAGGCTGTGGATAGGCTAGCATTTGTGTCAGTGTGGTCACATGACCAAGTGTGAAAGGCACATCTGGAGAGCTGTTCCTTTCACACTTAGTCATGTGACAACACTGACATGATGGCCATGACCATGGAGCTCTTCATATCTGGAGCTTGAGTCAGCACATTTATGGATATATGTCAGCAGAAGCATCCCGACCCCACACAGGGGTTGCTCTGAGGGGCAGGCAGTACTATCAGCAGTGCAGTGTGAAGACTCAGAAATGCGTCAGTTCCTGTTTTAAACCGTACACGTGCACACACGCATCACTCAGTGTTTGTATAAAAGAACACGCTCACAGAGACGTCCGTCATCTTTTATCATTTTCTGTGTTTAGTCCTCAGTGAAGAGCTCCTCAAGGTGTTCAGGCCAAAAGAGTCTCCCAGCATCCCGAGTACATTTTTAAAGGTTCCAGGGGCACCACGGGATGCATAGCAATATCTGCTCTTATTTTAGATTCTATGTTTAGTTTAATATGGGGCCATGTGCCACCTGTGCGTAAGAGAGTTTTGTGATTTTCAATATTACTGAATAAACAACTGGTTGGTCTGAACCTCAGGAAGCCTCCAGCTGCTGCTGGCCATCACAGTAACAACTGACTGTGAGTTCCAGGGGAACAGGATCTGCTGCGGTGGAGCAGCTGATGCTCATAGAGGAGCAGTTGTTCCAGTGGTGGCTGGTTTGCAGCTGCAGACAGTCTGAAGCTGGTATAAAAGTGATGTGGTCCTGAATCCAACCATCACCTGCTCTGTACCTGTCCATCGCACACCCACCTGTTTAACCTGCACTCATCTGCCTTGTATAGTCATGGTTACTTTGAATAACACTAAATTATATTTCATTTTTTTTAAGATGTTCCATATTAATAATGGAACTCTGGCAGCACATAATTCACACCTGAATTATGTTTATTATTCAAACATAATTCAGGTGTGACGCAGTAACTCAGCTCAGCTTCAGATGTAGAACAGCAGCAGTGGAAACACTGGGACTCAGAGGCCAGGCCCTGAAGTCTAACACAGTGTGCGTGGTAGGATCGGATAGTTGCACTTCCAGCACTGATGTTACTGATATGGCAGAAACAGGATGTCACAGAAATGACCTTTCCCAGCTGTCCATGTTTGGGAGTCGTTCCCAGACCTCCCACAGCTGGACATATTCTGGATTCCTGCTCTCTGACTCTGCATGGGAGTACAGTGTCACATGATCTCATGTGTTTACATACAGTCTGTATGCAGCGCTCACACTGTTAGTGTTCGTGCTTCATTTATGTATTTATTCAACCCCAGTTCCAAACAGCTGGGATGCTGTCTGTTTGTATTTCTGTCTAAATCATAAATACAAACAGAATGTGATGGTTTTCAAACCTCATGAGCTCATTTTATTCACAACACAGAAACATCACACGTTTAAACTGAGAAAAGGAACCATTTTAATTCAAATATTAGCTTGTGTAGAATCTCATGGCAGCGACATGGCAGTGAAGTAGGACGGGACTATGTTTCCTCTCTAACATCAGTCTGTGATGGTTTGTCAGCTGAGGAGAGCACCTCTTCTGGTCTGATGGAGCCTTTCCAGATGTGCCAGCTGCCAGCCTCATAGGCACTGATGATGGAGCCATAATGGTGCACACATGAACCTGCATGTGTGGAAGGCACGGTGAACTGAGTTGCACAAGGAGATTTCTCCAGATGATCTGAATCTTGTGATGTTGTCATGTAGTGTTGTTGAGGATGTTCACAGTGAGAAACATTATTCTGAAAATGTTCCATAGATTTTTTTCGTACATGTTTGAACCTCTGCCTCTCCAAAACGCCCTTTAGACCGAGTCGTGTTACAGACCTGCTGCCAACTAACCTGATTAGTTACGCAATGTTCCTCCAGCATTTTTCAGTATCCACCTTTTTCAGTTTAAACATTTATTTAATGTTTAAATATGTTTTCTATGTTCTGGAGTGAATACAAATTGAGTTTGAGATTTGCAAATAATTTTACGGTTTCTTCAGGTTCAGTTTGAAGCATCAACTCTAATTTGCACAGATCATAAGTTCATGTATGTGATGCTGATGGTTTCTGCAGACAGAAGCTGAGTGACTGATGATGTGCATGAGAGAACATAAAAGCTTTGCTCAGTAGAAGATGTGTTGTATGAATCTGATAATATTTATTCTTCAGAGATCTTCTGCAGGCTTCAGGCTGCAGACAGAAACATGATTCAGCTGCTTCTCTGTAACTTTCCAACATGGTGTTTCTCTCTGACTCCCAGCGGGGTAAACAAAGGTCTCCAGCACAACCAGAAAACTCATTTGTTGATGCTGGGAGGAAGTAAAGCCTGGACAGCTTCCTGCTCTCTGTGTCTTCCTCTCTTTTCTCCTGTGGGTTGTGCACAAACTCAGATTTCAAAATTAGGACAAACTACTGTCACCACACTGATGTATGAGTGACCTTCTGCAGCAGCCGGCCCTCTTACTTCAGAAGTGCCCTGCTTCCTCTCAGAGATACTCTGGATTTCTCTCTGAACATTCACAGCTGTAAACACACCCACATCCACAGCTGATCTCTGTAAACACCTCTGCAAATATGCAACGAACACCTTCACCACACGGTGGCAGCGTCTTACCAGAAAGGTTCCGTGTGATGACCAGCATTACATTCTGGTCTGTAGATCTGAAATGACTGCAGACTTCTAAAGTTTCTGTGTTAGTTTTTAAAGCTGCAGTCTGAGCGCTTTCAGCTGCTAAAATTAATCATGTATGTATTCCAGGAACATCATGTCTGTACAGATGTTCATCTAACACTAATATAACAATAATGTTAGCGTGCCTCAGGGCAGGCTGGAGGCTTCCAGAGTCACAGCACAGTCGTGTGGTTAAGTGTGGGATTACATGAGTGCTGCCCATGCCTATTAACATACATAAAGTCAACCATTTCTTTACATTCTGTTAATTTCACAAAGTTTTAAACTCTTTAGAAAGTAAAAGTTCTTCACAACAACCTGGTGCTGAATGCCCAGAAGACAGTGGAGATTATTGTGGACTTCAGGAAGCACACAACTCCACTCCCCCCCATCATCCTGACTGACACCCCCATCACCTCTGTGGACTCGTTCCGCTTCCTGGGTACCACCATCACCCAGGACCTGAAGTGGGAGCCCACCATCACTTCCGTCATTAAGAAAGCCCAGCAGAGGATGTACTTCCTGAGGCAGCTGAAGAAATTCAACCTGCCAACACGGACGATGATGCAGTTCTACACTGCAATCATCGAGTCCATCCTCACCTCCTCCATCACTGTGTGGTACGCTGGAGCCACTATCAGGGACAAACAGAGACTGCAGCGTGTTGTGCGCTCTGCTGAGAAGGTGATTGGCTGCAGACTCCCATCTCTGCAGGACCTGTACACCTCCAGGACACTGCGGCGTGCAGCTCGGATCTCAGCTGACCCTTCTCACCCTGGACACAGTCTGTTTGACCTGCTCCCCTCAGGCAGGAGGCTCCGGTCCATTCGCACCAGAACCTCTCGCCATAAGAACAGTTTCTTCCCCTCTGCTGTCGGACACATGAACAATAACCACATGACTGTTCCCACCACTAACACATGACCCTACGCTGTGTTCACTGCATCATTCCATGTTTGGCACTGATCACCACCTGCACTCATGTATATATCTATCTATCTACTTAGCACTTTTAATTCTTATTCTCATTTTTATTTTCATGTCTAGTTAAGCTTAATTTATAACAGTATTTATAACAGTATGTTTGCACTGAAGCACTGCAGCAATTTCCTAATGTTGTAAACCCGCTCAACATTTGGCAATAAAACCCTTTCTGACTCTGATTCTGATTCTGATTCATGAAAACACTGAAGTCCTGCATTTAAAACCCAGGTCACTGCTGTCCTCCAGCTACACTCTGAAGACGGTTTGTCTGTGGATGGATGGATAAAGTGCTCACCCTTTGTGGTCGTTTCTTCTCGGCTCGCTGGTTCTGGTGGTAGATTCGGCTAAATTTGACAGGGACCGGCGTGCCACTTAGAGAGCAGATGGAGCTGAAGATCTTCCCCATAATGGTCTTTGGTACCATGTCGCCATATCTGAGAGAGCAGAGAGCCAGAGGTCAGCCTGGCTGTGATATATGTGCTGATATAACATGGAGAAAAAAGAGCAGACAGAACAGTCTGCGATTTGTGTTCTTTAGTGAATCGTCCACACAGAGCTACAAAGTTTAGTTCGAGTGTGTTTCACTATCAAACATGTTACTTTATACCACACACACTAATGTTGGAGCATTTCTCATGTGGACCCACTTTATAAACAAGTTCGAATCCTTTGGTTCTGACTCTGGGTGGCGTGGTGGTGCAGCGGCAAGCACTGTCCCTTCACAGTAAGAAGGTCCTGGTTTGAATCCAACGGTTGGTTGGTTTTTGTCTCAAGTCTCTGTTGGTTCTCTCCAGCAAGCATTTATCATTTCTAGGCTGGACTACTGAAATTTGTTATTGTCAGGATGTCCAAGTTAATCCAAAATACTGCAGCAAGAGTACTGACAGGTACTAGAAAGAGAGAGCATTCCTGTACAGAGGAGCTATGATTAGTTAAACAACCAAGCAAAGACTAAAAACAAACAACAGGTGAGCTCATCACCTCCAGGTGTGTGAAACTGAAGGGAGGGAGCC